CCATGGCCAGTATGGACATTCTAACAATATTCTTATCCATGAACACCAAAAGTCTTGCCATTTATTTGTATCTTCTTCAGTCTCTTTCATAAATGTCTTACAGTTTTCAGTATACAGGTCTTTCACCTCCTTGATTAAATTAATTCTTAGGTACTTTATTCATTTAAATGTGATTGTAAATGGAATTGCTGTATTAAAATTATTTTTGGTAGCTTATAACTAGTATACAGAAATGCAACTAATTTTTGTATAGTGATTTTGTATTCTGCAACGTTACTGAATTCTTTGATTAGTTCTAACAGTTTTGGGTGAAGTTTTTATATAGACATGTACAATTGTATATATTTTATATAAACATAAAATGTCATGATATCTACAAATAGAGACAATTTTACTTCTTCCTTTCCAATCTGGATGCCATTTCTTTCTTTTTTCCTTCCTCCCTCGCTCCCTTCCTTCTGAATCCTCACCTGAGAACATGTTCATTGACTTTAGAGGCAGGGAGGGAGGGAGAGAGGGAGGAACATTGACCAGTTGCCTCCTGCAAATGTCCTAACCAGGAATTGAACTTGCAACCTTTTTGGTGCACAGAACGACACTCCCATTAACTTAGCCACCAGGCCAGGGCCATTTCTTTTTCTTATCTAATAGCTCTGGCTTGGACTTCCAATACTATGTTGAATAAAAGTGGAAAGAGTGATCTTTATTCACTCTTGTTCCTGATCTAGAGGAAAAGCTTCCCAGCTTTCACCACTGATTATGGTGTTACCTGTAAGTTTGTCATGTATGGTCTTTAGTATGTTGAGGTACAGTCCCTCTCAGATCCACTTTGTTGAGAATTTTCATCATAAAGGGATGTTGAAATTGGTCAAATGCTTTTTCTACATCTATTGAGGTAATTATATGATTTTTATACTTCATTTTGTTAAGGTGATGTATCACATTGATTTATGTATGTTGAACGATCCTTGCATCCCTGGAATACATCCTGCTTGATCATGGTGTATGATCCTTGTAATGCTCTGAATTTGGTTTGCAAATATTTTGAAAATTTTTCTATGTTCATCAGGAATTTTGGCCTAGAGTTTCCTTTTTTAGTGGTGTCCTTGTCTGGTTTTGTTATCTGGGTAATGCTTGCAATATGAAATGAGTTTGGATAAGTTTCCTCCTTTTCTGCTTTATGAATGAGTTTGAGAAGGATTAGTATTAATTCTTCTTTAAATGTTTGTTTCTTATATCTATGAAATACTAACACTTTATCTACTTTTCACCTTTTTTTTTTTTTTGATTTTGGGTCCAGGTTAGAAAGTGTCCTTATTTTGAGGTTATCAACAAATTTACTACATTTTCTTCTGGACATTATACAGTTTCACTTTTATATCTCTGACACATTTGGAATTAATATATAGTATAGAAGATGAAACCAGTTTTATCTTTTTTTCATATGGCTATTTTGTAATCAGAATACCACTTGCTTAAATTATTTTTCCACTATTGGAAATGCCATTTTTGTCATTAAATTTCCAAAGGCACTTGGGTCACTTTCTGAATTTTTTAAATTATTTTCCATTGGTCTGTCTCTTCATCTACCAGTTGCACACAGTGTCATTTACAGAAGATTTATAACATGTTCTTGCATCTGGTAGGACTACTGACACTCTTTGTTGTTTTTGACTTTCTAGGTTGTCATGCGTTCTTACCAATGGAACCTCATAATCATCTTCTGATTCTGTAGGGGGAAACTTAATAGTCTTCCTATCTGTCATCGTTATGTTTTACATTTGTTCCGACTATAATTTACAGGGATTATTTTATAAGTTTTATGTCTGGTAACTTTGCATATTTATGTGTAGAGGTTTGCTTTCATTATTGTAAATTAAGTCCTCAATTATACTTTTTAATTGCTTTATGTTTACACATATGAAGGCTATTTATTCCTCTCTGATGTAAGTTGCTAAATGTTGATTAGTCCTATTAAGCTATTGTCTCTCAGCTCCAGACCCAGACCTGATGCTGAGGAAAATACTGGGGCCAGGAAACTGCAAACCGCATTTCAGTTTTGCCAGTTGGTTCCTTGTTAGGTCCTGGAACACAGTTCTCTAAAGGCAGACATAACCAGGGTGCAGGCCCCTCTTGAGTGTTGTGCCTGGCCATGGCCCTCCATCTGGAAATAGTTGGTTACACTCTTCAAGTTTATTTGCTTGCTTCTTTGACGGTATTGCCCAAATTTGTCTTCCCCTTTCCCCTTTACAGAAACTAGCACCAGCTGGGTAACTCCCAGTCTTAGAGGCCTGGTTCTGAGATCCAGGAGAGGCTCTGATGAATTCAGCTTCTTTCCTTTGTTCTCCAAGTCCTAGGGATGGTAGATACTTTCTGCAGATATTCTGTTACTGCCTTTTGCTTTTGTTTAAGATGTAATTCACATACCAAACAACCAACCATTCTATGCATGCAGTTCAGACTTATGCAATCATCACCACTGTCTAAATTCAGGACATTTTTATCACTCCATAAAGAAACCCTGCATCCATTAGCAGTCACTTCTTCCCTCCCTGGCAACCGCTAATCTGTTGTCTTTGTGGACTGGCCTATTCTGGACATGTCCTACAAACAGAATCACACCATATGTGGTCTTTGGTGTCTGGCTTCTTTCACTGAGCATAGTGTTTCTAAGGTTCATCCATGTAACATTTATAAGTATTCGTTCCTTTTTGTGGCTGATTAATATTCCACCGAATGGATATACCACATTTTATTTATCTACTCATCCCGTGGCGGCACATTGGGTTATTTCCATATTTTGGCTATTACCAAGAAGGCTCCTATGAACATTCACGTACAATCTTTTAGAGCAACATATGTTTTCTATTCTCTCGGATATAGAGCTTGGAGTATAAGCGCTGCATCAAATGGTACCTGCCAAACTGTTTCAACAGCAGCTGCACCACTAGACCTTCTCACCAGCAGTATTTTTGCACCTCCTTATCAACACACGTTATTGTTCATCTCTTTGAGTCTGGTCATCCTAGTGGATATAAAATGGTATCTCACTGTGGTTTTGATTTTCCTTTCCCTACTGATATCGAACACCTTTTTTTAGTGCTTGTTGGCCATTTGTCTATCTTCTGTGGAGAACGGTCTATTCAAATCTTTTGCCTATTTTTAATTGGGTTATTTGTCTTACTGTTGAATTATAAGATTAAGTAGGAAAATATATACCAGATCCTCAAATGTCATGCTGTTTAATATCTTTTAGTTACAATGTTGATGAGATGGTGTAGGAACTTAATTCTTGTTAATAGCAATTAGCCTATGGTAAAATTGGTTTTGTTACGTCATTTAGCTTAAAGTCATAAAACCTTGTCAACATTAAATGAGAGTTTAATGGACTCAGTTTTTATTTATAAAAAGCTGAGAATAATGAACTTCAATTTTATAGAATACCATCACACTGGCCTGTTACTGATAAATGATGTGTGTGCTAATATCACTGTGAAATATTTTATATTTTGAGTTCAGTGACGGCTAATTCATTTGCCACTAGGCTAGATAAATCTGATAGCATGTTTTTAACCTTCCAGGTTACTGAAAAGAGCCAGGTTTATTATTAATCTCAGTTATGTTCCATGGTGATGACATAAAACTGTGTGATTTCTGATAGTGGTGTTTGGTGCTTAAATATGGTTGTGTTAAAAAAGGTGTACTTTCTATTTTGAACATTGAATTTGAGATACTACTTTGCTATATTTTGGACTGAGAGCTATAATCAAGTCTATTACTGTGCTTTCTCCTCACATCATCTGTAGTTTGTGTTTGGGACCACAGAGCTAACAATAATGACTTTCACTGAGAATCATGATCTTCAGTATCCGAGTATCCTCCTGCGTCTTTTTAATTAGGGGTGTCTTCATTCTACTTTTGTAGACAAGTACGTAACACCTTCTTCAGTTGCAATTGTCTCATTTTTGCCTATGCTTTTATTTCTAACCTGTCTTAATCCTTGCTTTAGTTTGGGCTGAGCGTTGTTAGCTAATCTCAACTCTTCTCTTTAAAATTAAGCCAAATTGTTTATTGAAATTATCAGTATGTTTGGTAATAGTGCTATCATTCTTTATACTTTTGTAATGCAATCACATATATAAAATCTTTCACTACAATAGCTGGTTTCATCAGTTTGATGTGTAGGGAGGTTTGTAATTTTGATCTACTGGTTACCTTTACACTCTTTTATTTAGCTTATTCAATTTCTCATTTTTAATAGGTATATTGTATCTACATTGTGAGAGCATACCATCATCATCATATAGTACTTTGTTACCTTTAATGACACTCCCTTACATGAATGACTTTTCCTTGCCTGCTTGTGAGTTGTCGGGCAGCAGTGACTATAATGTGAGCGCACTCTTGATGCAGGTGGTCTACTGTAGGAAGCCCGTTACCCTCATCACAGTTTACCCTAAAGCTCAGTGTCAGCTTTCTATGTGTTATAAAACAGTGATTCATTGAAATAATTAAGTTTTCTACTGGTAGCAAATATATTCCCTAAAACAGAGAAAGCAGGAACTCTAAGTGGATCTACATTGCTAACTACATTGAAAATTTAAAATAGTTCTGCCAAAGTTCATCCCAAAGCAGCAGAAGGGATCAGCAAAGACCACTTTCCCACCTACCCTACATACAGAGCTTTTCATATATAAATGAAAAAGCAGTGAGACATTATCATAACTAAAACCAACTGATACTCCTGGTTTCTTTTAAAAATCGTACCTGAAGTTTGCTGTAACTAGAGTAAGCTTATTTGAAATCAAATATGTTACCAGGGGGAAAACTGGCACTTTTGGAAAAAATATATGTAGTGTATATCACATCCATTATTAACTAGGTTTGCTCGTTTTCACCACCTTTTTAAGTGTTCATCCAAACAGTACCATCTGACTCTTGCTATAAACCAAGACTGGTTCCAGATAGTTCTAGGACAATATTTAGGGAGCTCAGCTTACAAAATTTTATTTCAAATACCAGTTTAATATACTCAGATAAATAGGTTCTGGTAAAACACCAAAATGAGGATAGCTGTTACTTGTAAGATACTTTCATTCCTTCAACTACCATTTCTGGCAGACTATGGAAGGCCCACAATTTCTTGCTACATTATACTTACAAATGGTGACTACAGGGAGCATCTTTTTACATGGATTTGAAGCTTCTAGTTTCAAAAGGCTTAACTCTAGTGAAAGGTTCAAATGAAAAATATCAGTTCACTGGCCTGGACTCCGAATTTATACTATCTCTGTTCAGAAAAAAAAAGCTTGTCAGCCCAGGACTGCCCACGTGCAGTCCTGGGAAATGGGCAGAGCAAGCCCAGCGCCTCTCTGCAGCTGCACACCCTCTTCCCATCCTGGAGTTCCACAGGTAATACCGCTTAACTGAAGACCAGCACACACAGAATTAGGGTCCCACAAGCCTCTGAAAATAGATACAACCTGTCAGGATCTCTAAAATAAAATGAACAGTATACTGTGAAAAAAATACTTCATGCTCCTAACTACTGTGTCTCATTAGACTGCTCCCTATGCTAACTCATTTAATCTGCACAACCACCTTATGAAGGAATTGAAGCATAGCCTAACTTCCCAAGGTCACACACGCAGGGAACAACAGAGCTGGGTGTAAAGCCAAGCAGTCTGGCTCCAGAGTCTATGCCCTTAATCTACATGTGAAATCAGGTGCCAGTCACTGAAATTTTGGGGAAAAAAATAAGAATGTTAAAATCCATAAGAATGTTAAGAATGTTAAATAGTATTAGGACAATCAGAATAAATGGCTTATAGGTAGGTCTGAGGAAGTCTAAGGAGATGAGGCATATAAAATGAGAGTGGCTGAAAGATTCCCAGAGATGATAAAAAGGCATGAAATTCCACCGAAGCACCACCATGTACCTTAAACAAGAGAAAACAAAAATCAGAATTAAACTGACACTGGGTTTGCACTACAAAAAGTGTATTCTCAATACGTACTTGAAACACTGAAAACTTTAGAGTAAAAGCAAAGTGGATAGATAGGGTCTATTAGGTTTTTACAATTTTCAAATGATGAAAAGTGTGAGCAGATTTTTCTAACAAGATACATAAATGACTTAACATATTTACATGATTAGAATAGGCCTGAAAGGAATAAAAATATTCGAAATGCCTGGTTAGTACTTGTTATTTCTATTCTTCACCACTAAATAAATCAAAACATCAAGGTTTTCTTTTGTAGCATAACAAAATGGTTCTAAAATTTATCTGGAAATCTAAATGGGCAAAAATTGGACAAACCAATTTTTAAAAATAATGAAACATGAATATAATTAAAACAAAACTTAAAAGATGGCTCTATCAGTATTAAGAATTTATTAAATAGAATTGAGTTAATTTATGGCACATCCACACCATAAAATACTGTCCTATATTTGAGAATGAAGTAGTTCTGAATATATAACAAGAGGTATTATCTGATACATGAAGTAAATAAGAGCAATTTTTCAAAAGTAAGTGTCATATCCTATATGTTATAGAACAAAATATAAATGGATAGACAAATATCTGGAAGGATAAACCAGAGTACAGAAATGTTGCCCCATTTCCAAAAAAAAATTTATATATATACAAACACACACACACACACACACACACACACTTCTGTATTTTTCAACACGCATGTGCTGTTTTCATAATTTAAAAGGATGAATATGAATACTGTGTAAGAGTGTTGAATTATAGGCAGAAACAGGTCTTGGAAATTTTTCTGAGGCAGTTAATTCAATAAACAAGCCTTCCAAAACAGCAGGGGAAATGCCAGAAAGGACACATGATCCATTCAGAAAAATTCGGGAAAGGAGAAAACGGGAAATAGAAGAAAACAAAATAAACTGAAAACATATGCTGGAAGGCATTATCTTTAATGTATCACAATATAAAGAAATCAGTTCAATTCTACTAAAAATAAGGACTATTTTTTAAATTAACTAAAATGAATTAAAGTGTATGATTCCCACAAGGAATGCCTCTAAAACAGTAACACAGGAAGGCCAAAGGGACTCTTCTGGGATTTTGCTAAGTGAAAAAAGTTTCCCAAACAGCTATTTACCGCATGGTTCCATCCATATAACACTTTTGAAATGACTAAATTTTAGAGATGGAGGATAGACTATGGGGGGAGGTGGAAAGAGAGCAGGTCGGTAACACATGTAGATGTAAAAAGGCAACAGAAGGGGTCCTGTGGGGCTGACGCTCAAACCCCCAAAAGGGACAAAATTGTGTAGAACTTAAATGTAAAACTGGAAAAATCTAAAGATTTATGGATTGCATCCATGTCGCTGAGGGGAGGAAAGACCGGACAAAGTATACAAGATACCTCTTTTAGAACTACATGTAAATCTGTAATTGCCTCAATAAAAAGAATAAAAATAAATGGGTGGCACCAAAAAGGCTGAAAGACACTAAATATAAGTAAGGATTTGGAGCAACTAGAATTCTTAGACTGCTGGTGAAACTATAAATGGATTCAACCACTCTGAATAACTATGTATATCTATTCCTAGGAATATAGGAACCCAATAGAAATATAGTTTGTTTCCCCCAAAATGATGAATAAAGGGTCAGGCACCAACCACCATCAGAGCTGAGCAGATAAACTGTAGTACTCTCACACATGAGAGTGAACAAGCTACTGCTTTGTGCAACCACAGGGACAAATCACACAAACATGATGCTTAACCAAAGTTACACTTTGATTCAGTTTAGATAAAATCTAATAAAAATGTACTGATTAATCTATAATGTTAAAAGGATATTGATTCGCCTTGGTGAAAGATTGTTCATTATGTGAAAGTTCAAGATGTGTACTTATGTTTCCTTGAGAAATAAATACACCATGCAGGTATAAACAAAAAGAGCCAAGATTAAAATGAGACAAAATTCATGACAAGTAACATTAAATGATACCAACATGAATATTTTTGAGTGATAAGAAATGCAAACCTTCAAGAAGAGAGAATATTCAAAAATCTAAATTGATGAACTAACCTATTAAAAGCTGGATTTGAGAACCTCTGGTCAAAACGGCAGTGTAGGCAGACATGGCTTGTCCTCGCACAGCCATGTCAAAATTATGACAAAAATATAGAACCACCATCACTGAGAACCATCAGAAATCGAATTGAATGTAAGTCTCACAACTATGGAATTAAAGAAACCACATCCACCCAGACTGGTAGGAGGGGTGCAGACACAGAACGGCTGGTCCCTCACCCATGTGTGTTAGATAAAAATTCAGTAGGGATGTCTTGGGAGTGAGGAGTCCCAGACCCATACCAGGCCCCTGCAGCCCAGGGTTCCAGTACCAGGAAGCTAACTCCTCACTTCTGGCTACAAAAAGCAGCGGAGATTGAGTCAGTGGAAGAAATAGCTGGAGCCCCAAGCAGTTCCTCTTAAAGAACCCACACACAGACTCACCTACTCAGGCTCAGTTTCTCTGGACTTGGTGCTGGGTGGTGGCTTGAGGAGCACCGGTGGCAGGGGGAGGCTAAAGTGTGTGGCATCAAGGTGAGAAGCCAGATTCCCTGTTCTTAACCCTCAGGCTGGCAAGCTGGCACCATATCTGAGACTCCATCAAACTGGCTAGCACTATTTGACTTGCCTTGGAGATCCCCAGAGATTCCACCCCACCCAACTTACAGGCCCACACAAGCTGCTTTTCCATATGAATGGCTGGTCTTGGCTCCTGCTTCACAACTTCCTAAATACTATCAAACAAGCAACAGCTCACCTCAGTTAGCCCTAGGTCTGGAACTAGCAGCAGCCATCTCAGATTGATTTATAGCTTAGGCAGGGTGGCCCTGGGCAAAACACAGGTGGGGGCTGACCTTGGGCTGCACTACCAGGGAAACCCCAGGGCCAGCACACCCAGTGGACACCTGCAGACCACATGGGAGCACCACCACCCATCCTGCCCCTGCACAGCTGATCCTCCATGGGAGGCGGAGCTTGGTCATCAGTGGTCACAGCCAGTCCTTGCTGCTAACTGGCCTGAGTAAACCCTTCCCATTGATCTGCCAGCAGTACCCAAGGCTCAACTACAAGAGGAGGGTGTACTTAGCCCACAGAAGGGTACACCTTGAGTACCCAGCTTGGGTGATGAGGGAGGCTTTGCCGCTGGACCCTACAGGACACACCTACTACATGAGGCCACACTACCAAGATAGGGAGTCATAGCAGCTCTACCTAATACATAGAAACAAACACAGGGAGGCTGCCAAAAATGAGGAGACAAAGATACATGGCCCAAATGAAAGAACAGATCAAAACTTCAGAAAAAGAACTAGACAAAATGGGGATAAGCAATCTACCAGATGCAGAGTTCAATACACCACTTATAAGGGTGCTCAAGGAACTCAGTGAGGACCTCAGCAACGTAAAAAAGACCTAGTCAGAAATGAAGGATACACTAATTGAAATGAACAATTTATCGGGAAACAATAGACAAAGCCTGAATCAAATCAATAATTTGGAACATAAGGAACCAAAAAACAACCAATAAGAGCAACAAGAAGAAAAAAGAAACCAAAAAAAGGATAGTGTAAGCAGCCTCTAGAACAACTTCAAAAATTCCAACATTCGCATCATAGGGGATTCAAAAATACTGCACAATTCCACCAATATGAAGTTTCTATAATAGTTAAATTCAGAGGGACAGGAAGTAGACTGGTGATTATAAGAAGATGGGTATTATTTAAATAAAGATGGTGTACAGCTATTATTTAATGGGTCAGAGTTTCAGTTTTGCAAGACGAAATAAGTCTGGAGATGGTGGTAGTGCTTGCATGACACTGAATGTACTTAATACCTGAGCTGCCCACTCAAAAATTGTTGAAGTGTAAATTTTGTTCTTTATATATTTTAACAACTTAAAGATCAATGAATGCATGGGCTGCGAACCAAAGCATTGCAGGTTCGATTCCCAGCCACGGCACGTGCCTGGGTTGCAGGCCATGGCTCCCAGCAACTGCACATTGATGTTCTCTCTCTCTCTCTCTCTCTCTCTCTCAAAATAAATAAATAAATCTTAAAAAAAACATTTTCAAGTGCCACGTCTTTACTTAAAAAAAAAATCAATGAATGCAATGATGGCAGGCAGAATAATGGTACCACAAATATGTCTGCATCTTACTCCTGGAACCTGTGCATATGCTGCATGACAAAAGGGAATTTAGGTCACAAAGGAATTAAGGCTGCTAATTAGCTGATTTTAAGATAGGAAATTATCCTAGGTTGTCCAGGACAGCCCACTCTAATCTCACAATCGTTTAAAAGCAGACGAGGAAGGCAGGAAAGTGCATCAGAGAGATGCAAGAAGATGCAGAGATACAAGCCACTATTTCTGGGTTTGATGATGGAGAAAGAAGGCCACAACCAAGGAATGGGACAGCCTCCAGAAGCCAGTGTATAAGTCTCCTACTGCTTCTATATTGTTACCTCAAACTTAGTCACTTGAAACAACACAATTTATTATCTTACAGTTCTGCAGATCAGAACTATGACATCAGTCTCACTGGACTAAAATTAAGGTGTTGGCAGTGTGGCGTTCCTTCTGAAGGCTCTAGGAGAGAATCTGTTTCCTTGCCTCTACCAGCTTCTAGAGGCTCCCTGAATTCCTTGGCTCACAGTCCTACATCCCTCCAATCTTTGCTGTCTTGTCACATCTGCTGTGACTGACTCCTGTGACAGCTCTGAGGAGTAGGACATGGATATCTTTGGGAAGCCATCGTTTTGTCTGCTTGGGTTGGGAACAGCCCTCAGCTTACAGCCAGCAGAAAAACAGGGGCCTCAGTTATACAACCATAAGGAACTGAATTCTACCAATGACCTAAACGAGCAGGAAATGAACCCTCCCCTAG